AATTCATTGTTTAGCTGGGTCTTCAGTCTGTGATCAGCTCACCTCCGCTCTTATCTGACGAGTCTTCGGGTTTGAGTCGTTCCTTCATCATGTGACAGCAGCATAAGCTTAACCAAAGCAGTCTGAGCCGGGAAGAGAATTGATTATTTATTTTTTTATTTTTATTGAAGATGTAACATTCACAGGGGATCCAGTCATAGCAATAAAATACACACACCCAGAACATAAATACATAAATACATAAAGAATAATAAACATGAAATATAAACAGAACAAAAACAAATAAATAAAAAGTTAACCATCTTTTTTTTTTTAAATAAATAAATCATAAATATATTAAAATAAAAAAAGAATTTAAATGGAATATTACACATACAATGTCAACTTCAAAGAATACACCGGAGGTAACGCTTACATCAAAGTCAATATTTCTCCATCAGTACAGTAGCTTCAGCAGCTCTCTTATGAAGTGATGCGCAGAGAGATCCAGAACATCCTCAGATCGGGCACACACTCAGTAGCTGTACGTTTGTGAAGATGAAACAGGCCACAAAGAGTTCACAGTTTTAAGATATCGTCCAGCTCCTTTGATCCTGATTCCCAAATCAAAAATAGTGCATTAATTACCTCAAAACTAAAAAGTTTGTTGTAAGCCGAGAAAACAAGCCAAGATATTTCTTTCCAAAAATCCTTTGCATATTCGCTTTCAAAACATAAGTGTGATATTGTTTCCAAACTAGAATGACAGAATGTGCATTGTGAAGAGATGTAAAGCGTTACAGGATAGCACATGTGAAGAGTCTATAAAGTCTATTTATAATAAAGTTCTTTCATCTGGTTAGGTAACAGAATGTGTTAATACCTTTGCATATTCGCATTCAAAACATAAGTGTGATATTGTTTCCAAACTAGAATGACAGAATGTGCATTGTGAAGAGATGTAAAGCATTACAGGATAGCACATGTGAAGAGTCTATAAAGTCTATTTATAATAAAGTTCTTTCATCTGGTTAGGTAACAGAATGTGTTAATACCGGCCCATATTTTAACAGTAGAAAGAAAAGGGTCATTTATTTTCCACTTATAACATGCTTCAGGACGACAACTAAACTTCTTAATAAGGATTTTTCTAATCCAGAAATTGTTACATTTAACATTAGAAAGCTCCAGACCTCCAATACTAATGTTTGGCACTTCACATTTTGAAGATCTGTAACAATCCCTGACCGAATGTAACAGTTTAGGTGAAATAGAATTAATAACCCATTCACACACTCTAGGGGAGGTATCCACTTCAAAGACTTCTGAAAATTCAGAAGTTACCATCCTTTTTTAACAAATCTAAAACAAAACTTACACCTTTGTCAAACCAGTTTTGAATAAAGACAGATTTTCTTCCACGCAGCACACTCTGATTAAGAATTGATTAGTTCTTCTCTCGAGTCTTTCGAATCGTTCGTTCTTTTGTCACGTGACGTGACAGCATTGGAGAGAGAAATGAGTTCATTTACAAGCTTCCTTACAAACGGGTGCATAGTTATTATTATTATTATTATCATTATCGTTATTATAATTATTATTTACTCTTACAGTTACGTGATGTGTTTCTGGTCTCAAATTGTAGCTTTTTACTTCTTACAGTTTATAAATGTGTGAATTTCTGTCATAATGGTTATTTTCCATAACACTGAATTACATTAAAGATTCGTTCAAGAACGACCCAACACTAGCACGCATGCACTCACTCTCAAACACACACTCGCTCACTCTCTCGCATGCACACACTAGCATGCACTCACTCTCACACACACACACACAAATACACACACTCGTGCATGCACATACACTCACTCACACACACACACACACACACACACACATACACACACTCGTGCACGCACATACACTCACTCACACACACACACACACACACACACACATACACACACTCGTGCACGCACATACACTCACTCACACACACACACACACACACACACACATACACACACTCGTGCACGCACATACACTCACTCACACACACACACACACACACACACACATACACACACTCGTGCACGCACATACACTCACTCACACACACACACACACACACACACACATACACACACTCGTGCACGCACATACACTCACTCACACACACACACACACACACACACACTCGTGCATGCACATACACACACACACACACAAATACACACTCGTGCATGCACATACACTCACTCTCTCACACACACACACACACACACACACACACACACACACACACACACACACACGGGCCAGCACACACCCACACACACACGCACATACACTCACTCACACTCGCACACGCACACACACACACACACACACAAACACACACACGCGCACGCACACACACACACACTCACACACACACACACACACACACACACACACACACACTCGTGCATGCACATACACACACACACACAGGTCTGACACACACCTCCTCCCTCTGCTGCGGCTGCGAGAGCGCCTGTATCTCCTCCCTCTGGACCGAGAGCGAGACCTGTCCGAGTCCAGAGGAGAGAGACGCGTGTCAGTGTCACAGATTGACTGACTGCTGTGACCCTCAGGCACTGACCTCAACTGAACTAAACACTCACATTACAGTTTAACATTACAGCTACAGTACAGAACAGGGCTGGGCCATACGACAGCGCTTTAACCAATTCATTTCCATGAATCACTTTGTGAATTGGTTCAATCACCACAATAGTTCAATAGTATCTCAATGATAGTAAAATAACACTCAAAAAGCGTTGCAAAAGTTTCAGGAAAAATATATTTCCATTTATTACTTTGCATTGACATATTGTTTAAAAATATTTATATTTATTTACATTTTTTCAATTAATTTACGCCATAATTATTATTTAACTTTTCGCAATAAAAATTTTGAATGCAACTGGCAACGATGCTTGGTCGAAATGACTTCTCTGATTAAAAAGTGATTATTTAGCAATATCTACACGAAATCCTCAAACATGACGGGAGTGTTATATCGCCCAGCCCTGGAACTCTCTAAAGCATCCAACAGATATTACAAAAGTTTACAGCATTAAACATTATGACTGCTTTGAGTTCAGGCAATGATATACAGAGAGACACATTAATTGGTACTTGAAATAAACCTTGCAACTTTGCAGGTCGACCCTCTTTGGAACCGAGGTCTAGCAGATTTAGACGATCTAGAAGTATCTATCATCAGCCAACCTCTGCATCCAGTCGTTCTCTTGGATCTCTAACGATGACCGCTCTGACAGCCAGATCGCTTGAGTGAGACTTGATAGAAGTGTGCAAGGCGCTTTTTCTGCCGAGGTCTCGATCACAAAGACCAGGAAAAACACACTCTAAAATCTGCTGTAAAATACACAAAAATAAATAAAAATGGAGATTATTATTGCAATGCACTTATCATCACAACCCTGCCGCAACACATTTATCACAGCAATCTGACAACTTTTTTACCTTTATATAATTCAGATCGTGTCGAAGCAGCTTTAAAGTATCAAACAGGAAAATAGTTAGTCAATAACGCAAGAGGACAATAACAGAGAGTCATTTTTCGCATTGATGATTCGGTGTCTGTGCAATCAAGCGACAGTATTTTCAGAAATGAAGCGTCACCAAACATCTGTCACTCAAGGCTTGAAATAAAGAAATATGCATGGCTTATACAATTTTGAATATAACTGAAATGATACTGAAACTAAAACTGCCAGCAGGTGGCGGCAAGTCACTGATTTTAGCACTGAATCATTCATTCAACTGATTCGTTCGAACGGCTGATTCATTCAGGAACGAAGCAAGGGACTGTCTTTATGAATGAGTCATTGAATCAGTGACTTACTAGATTCGTTTAAACACTCACGTTCATTTATAAACGAAACACCGCTGTGTTTGCTTGGAGATGTGCAGCGGCTCAGCTGGGACTTTGTTTGAAACTATTATCGTTCGGATATTTATAACAAGGTTTTCATCCGATATTTATATTTTATTTCAGCTTTATTTCAATTTAAGGCTGTTTTAATGAAATAAATGTGAGGGATGCATGTTTCAAACTATTGTGACCTACTTATGGTCTGCATATGACATTGTTTACTCGATGGTGTTTCTAGTGTAACATTGCCGTAAAAGACATTTCAAAATAAGAGTCTCCATGTATTTTTGTTTATAATTAAAAGTCCCAGCTTGGTTTCTGCTCTTACTGGTATTTTGGTTAGATGAAAAACTGTATCTGACATTTAATTCAATGTTTAAAATATGTGATCCTGGAGCACAAAAGCAGTCATAAGGGTCAATTTTTCAAAATTGAGATTTATGCATCATCTGAAGCTGAATAAATAAGCTTTCCATTGATGTATGGTTTGTTAGGATAGGACAATATTTGAAAATCTGGAATCTGAGGGTGCAAAAAAATCTAAATATTGAGAAAATCATCTTTAAAGTTGTTCAAATGAAGTTCTTAGCAATGCATATTACTAATCAATAATTAAGTTTTGATATATTTACAGTAGGAAATTTACAAAATATCTTCATGGAACATGATCTTTACTTAATATCCTAATGATTTTTGGCATAAAAGAGAAATGTATAATTGTGACCCATACAATGTATTGTTGGCTATTGCTACAAATATCCCCCAGCGACTTAACACTGCTTTTGTGCTGCAGGGACACATATAAAGAATTCAATAATTATTAAATACAGTTTAAATCAGAAATATTAAAAAAACCTAATGTACATTTTGAATTCAAATGAATAATTTTGCTTTTAAGTGTCTGCTTGGGAATAAAGTAAGCGCCCAGCCCTGCTTCACAGAGACACACTGTATGAATGATGAATGTATGAAGGTAAAATAATGCCAAAAAGATTTGCATACGCAGGGTAAGAGTTGTGGAAGTGTACATAAGACTGTAAGCGTAAATTAAATTTACATGCGCAAATTATCATATTTCTACAGTCATCAAGATATGTATATATCTCAGCCCAGCTATTTTAAACGGTTTGACAACTGAGAAAAAATACGACCATCAATGTGTTACTTTATTGTAACATGTATCGTAAAATTAGTGCTACTACTATTACAACATCAATATTGTAACTTAATTGTAACATTTTAAACTTTTAATTTAGTGCAACATTTTAGTGCAACAGTTGCATGTATATGTAAACCTAAAAGCACTGTATTGTGACATGTTCACTCCTTCTATGACCACACGCAACAAAACTGAATAACCGTGAGTTCATATATTAATGCTACACACCTTAAAGATAACCTGCATCAAACATCTTTGTCATATCTTTGTTAACATACTTTCCTAGCCTTTTGTTTTGGACTGCACATATTTAATTGAGACCCTTTCTTTTTTCCATATTTGCAGGAAATGCACCAAAACATCAGTCAGTGACATTGTTACAGCTTTATACATATGGTGCGATTAATTATATATTACTGGTGTTTTTACAATATATTATATTTTCATATATATATATATAATGTTTTTCAGTTTTAATTTCAAATTTAGTTTACATCTTTAAAATATTGTTATGTGCTTTTATCATTTCTACCTAGCTTTAATTGATTTTATTTAGTTATTTTAACTCTTTAACTTAAACGTTATTTGCCAAGGCAGCTTTTATTTATTTATTTTTAAATAAAAAGTGAACATTTATATTTTATTTTAGCATTATTTCAATTAAAAATGGATGTTTAATAGTTTTCGTTAAGATAAACGAGGTTGCTATTGAGTCTACAACCTGCCATATGTTACACTTTAATGAAAATATAAACTTCAACTAAACTCTTTAATTGACCAAAATGATTAAAATTATGAAATACAGAGCAAACTGTAATAAAAGACCTAAACATCCTAATTACTGAGCGATAACCCAACAAACTAATCCATCAGCGTACAAACACACATAATCTGCATCTAAACTATCTACGTTATGATTATTATTACTACTAGTAGTTTATAATTGTAAGATTATTATTATTAGCCAGTGTTTACAGCGCAGAAAGAAGTGAAGAAATCCTGACAGAAACAAAAGATGACGCTGAAAACTACATTTCCCATAATGCCCCTGTTCCGAGCTTTGACTGCGGGCTTATTCTAAATAATTTATTTCGCTTTATTATTAGGCTTTTTTGTGTTTTTATATCCCGTACACTCTCTATACGTTTAATAAAAATATTTATATATTATAAAAGAAAATCTGTGACCCAGCCAACCAATCACACGAGCAGTGACGCCACACGTGACCTCGATGAACTTTTCATCGTGACGTTAACGATTTATAAACGTATATTTGTAACTTAATTTAAAACATAGTCATAATTGGAAGTCTTTAATATAATTTTTTTTAGATATGTAAATACATTTTTAAGGTGAGGGGCTTCCGGAAACACTTTCACTCAGATGAATCGGTGAGTCACATGGGTTTTGAGTCACGAGGTGAATCATTTGCGTTGGGGATAATTATGAATCATGAAGTGAATCATTTGAGATTTGAATCATAAGGTGAACGTTTGGATTTGTAATCATTATTAATCATGAGCAGGGAATTGGTGGGTTTTTGTTAAATGTGAGCCAAAATCATCACAATTAAAAGAACCAAAGACTTAAACTACTTCAGTCTGTGTGCACTGAATTTCTTTAATACACGAGTTTCACAATTTGAGTTGAATTACTGAAATAAATGAACTTTTCCACGACATTCTAATTTATTGAGATGCACCTGTATGCCTTTTGAATCATGAGATGAATCATTTGTGTTTTGAATCATGAATTACGAGAATTACTTGCATTACGAATCATTAGGCGAATAATTCAGGGTTTTGAATCATTATGAAATATAAGGTGAATCATTTGCGTTTTAAAGGCTTAGCTCACTTCCAGAATAAACATTTCCTGGTGATTTACTCGCCCCCATGTCATCCGAGATGTTCGTCTGTCTTCAGTCGTGAAGAATTTAAGGTTTTTGAGGAAAACGTTCCAGGATTTTTCTCCATATAATGGACTTTAATGGGGACCAACCGGCTGAAGGTCCAAATTGCAGTTTTGTAATCATTATTAATCATGAGGTGAATAATTTGCCTTTTGAATCATGAGATGAATAATTTGCGTTATGAATTATGAGAATTACTTGCATTTTGAATCATGAGGCGAATCATTCGGGGTTTTGAATCGTTCTGAATTATAAGGTGAATCATTTGCGTTTTGAATCATAAGGTGAATCACTGGAATGATTATGAATCATGATTCAAATCATTGGCGTTTTGAATCATTAGGTGAATCATTTTAATTTTTATGAATCATGATGCAAATCATTTGCGTTTCAAATCATTATGAGGTGAATAATTGGTGTTTTGAATCATGAGATGAATCATTTGCATTATCAATTATGAGAATTACTTGCGTTCAATGATGAGGCGAATCATTCGTTTTGAATCATTATGAATTATAAGGTGAATCATTTGCGTTTTGAATCATGAGGTGAATCATTTGAATGATTATGAATCATGATTCAAATAATTTGTGTTTCAAATCATTGAGGTGAATCATTGGCGTTTTTGAATCAGTAGGTGAATCATCTCTGGTTCTGTTCTTGTGTGGGCTGCAGTGTGGTGCTGCTGAGCGTCCAGGAGAACGAGCGTCCGTCGGTGAGGGGGATTCTGGGTCACGCGGTGACCGATGTCCAGATCCTCAGGAGAGGAACGGAGGAAACGGAGCGTCAGATGAAGAGCGTCTTCCTGCCGGACCGAGCACAGATTCTCAGCGTGGAGGAGCTGAAGTCACGGCGGGAGAGTCTGCGTCTGTTGCTGGAGAAGAACCGAGTTCCGGTGACTGAAGACGGGGAGATTCTGCGTGAGGCGAACGCTCTGACCATCAGCGCCCCCTACAGGCCTGGAGACTGCAGCAGCGCCAACGAGATCATCCTGGCGCGCATTCAAAGTCTAGTGCAGAGCACCCCCGGAGCAGAACATACCCCCCAGTCCCAGACACATCAGTGAGCCTTCCTTAAGACACCAGAACCTTCGTTTCCCTGTTCTGGGATCAAACATCGCTTCTGTGTTACAGTGTCAATGATGTTCATATGCTTTATGTTCATAAGAGTCATTGGATGTTTGTTCGTTTTGCATGTTATAATAAATGTTTCCTGATGAATGCATAAACCAAGGCCATGCTCCGAATGGAAGAGCAATGAAACTTTTTGAAACTGAATCATTTTGCAAATTGGTTCAAATGATTCAAAGCACTCGATGTCTGCTGGTTAGAATGGTGTAAATGCTACGAAAACTCAAAGGTGGATAAAAACACCTTTAATAACAAACCCACTGCGAATCTTATTGATATGTAATCTATTACATTAATTTCTAGGGCTTGTATTGTTTGTTTTATGGAGAGTTTGGTTAATCAGGCCAACGACAGACTATTGCTGTAACTACAATTTTTCCTTTTCATTATACATGCGTGTATAGCGTATATAACTGATCTGAGATCAGGTAGAAACCATACCGACTCTGGTTCATGGGTTCACCGAGATCTAGCGCAAAATGTTTCAAAACGGTTGTGACGTAACGAAGCCTCGTTATTCAACTGCTTCATTTCTCACCTGGTAGCTTGTTTTTGTTTTTTGAGCGGATGCAGAAAACGGATTTGCACAATTCAACAGACAATCAATCAGTTTCATATTCATGTTCATAATATTCATGCCAGTGTTTGATACTCAGGCCATCTCTGCTACTCCTGTATGACGAACGGTGTTGGGTCACTTGATCTGAATAATGCTGAAATTCAGCAGAATCTGAAGTTTGCATCATTGATTCTGTTATTTTCCGTATAAAGCGTTTTGGAACATGTGCCTCAGCATCTCAGACAGTGAAGAGAGACGTGGCACGGCTAGCGTTTGGCATACAGTGGTAGAAACAATTTTATTCCCTTGTTTTAAGGCGGCGATCGGTTCATCTTTACATACTTATTGGCAAAACAAGAAATGATTGAGAAAATAAAAGTTCTAAGACGTACAGGACAATCACGCGTGTTTCTTGAAGGTTTCTCCAGTACCTCTTTGGTGTGAGGGTACCTTAAACTCACGAAATAATCCAGAGAACGCTCTCCATCACCAGAAGAGCTGCTCCGTTCAGTCTGTCATCCAGCAGGCTTGTTTCTGTGTTTATCAGTCTGTGTTCAGGAGGAGGATCAGCCGATGACTGCTGAAAACCCACCAAGCCGTGAAACTAACAGCTGCACGAAAGACAACAAAAACACCATACAGAGAGTTCCTGAACACAATCGTCGTCTCAGAAGGACGTGTTTAAAGAGACAGCTCACCCAAAATTACAACTCTGGCATTATTTACCCTCCCTCGAGTTGTTCCAAACCTGTACATTCTTTCAAATGTTGAACACAAAAACAGATATTTTTACAAACGCTGATAACCAAACAGTTGGCGGTAGCCATTGACTTCAATAGCATGGGAAAAAAATACAATGGAAGTCAATGGGGACCAAAACGGTTTGGTTACCTACATTATTCAAAATGTTTATTGTTTTGTTCTTTGAAGTGTTTTCTAAATATTTCAAAGAAAGCTGGTAACCAAACCGTTTCGGTTCCCATTGACGTCTATTGAATGGACAAAATATATATATATACACAATGGGAGTCAATGGCTACCGTCAGCTTACCAGCATCCATTAAAATATGTTTTGTGCTCAACAGAAGAAAGACACTCGTACAGGTTTGGAGCAGCTCGAGGGAGAGGAAACGAACAGAATCCTAATTTTCTCTTTTTCTCTTTAAGGGCACATGTTGCTTTCGTGTAGGTTATGATGGGTTTGCGTTCTCCAGCAGCGGTGGCCCGTCGCGGTGGACCGACTCTCTCTTGTAGGTCTTGGGAGGGAGTTTGGGGATGGGTGACTGTGAGGTGCTGTGGTGCGGCGGGACGGGCGGCCCGGAGACTCCCAGCGGCGGCTCACAGTCCAGAGCGGGTGGCAGCGGGGAGGAGGGCGGGTGTTTACGCGGGCCCAGCGGCGAGGGCGTCTGCGGCGGGAAGAAGGCCTGGCTGGGCTCGGAGCGGCGGCCCGGCGGAGGTGGCTGCAGGTGCAGCGGGGAGCTGCAGAAGACGTCTGGTGTTTGCACCGGCTCCCGCGGCGGCAGGGTGGGCGGGCTCTCGGGCGGCTCCGTCAGCGAGTAACGGGGCGAGTACACCTGGGAGGTGGGCTGATGCGGCGGGATCGCCGGAGGACTGTCCAGGTGCTTCGACATCATCTGAAACACACCACACGTCGCGCTTGAAAGAAGTCCCATCTGATATTTCAGTTAATGGCAAAATGTGCCAGATTTAAAATATCTTGAGATCATTTCAGACTCACAGCTGATATTTGAAAAGCATGTTAAAGAAATGAGTCAGTGCAGTGACATTTAACACCATATAATGTACATTTATAGGCTTTCAACAGAAGTGTTTTTACATTTAATGATTTTTTTCCCTTTTTTCATACTGTATTATATATATATATATATACACATCAGGATTAAAAAGGTAAATATTTTAAAATATTAAATATAGTTTTTATATCTCACAATTCAGACTTTTTTCTTTTTAAGAATTCCTAGATTTTCTCTTTTTTTCCACCGTGGAATTAAAAAATAAAGGTAAATGTGACTTTTTATTTCATAGAAATTTCATTTCAAGAGAACTGCAAGATAAAAATCACAATTAACTTTTATATTTTTTAAGGCCGAAACGGGCTTTCATCATTTTACATCATGCTCACACAAGTGGGAAAATCTATTCTCAAATATAAATTTAAACAAATTATATACAGTATATATATATATTGTAGGATATCAGACCGAATCAGACAATCTAAGATTTGGTCAAAACCGAGTTGAAACATTAGGAGCACAAAAATTCCACAGAGGCCCAAGACAACAGGATGTCATAAATCAGACCCGAGCATTAGCCAGGCTGAAGCAAGCCTAAACCCCC